CCCAAGTGTTATTTCTTTTTTGAGCTCTAAGAGTATTGTAAAGTCTCCTGTGACATTGAAATTATCCAAAAATTATCCACTTTACAACCCCAATGATATAATTAAAGAAACAACTCAAGTATCTGGTTGCTTTGTAGATAATCGCCACTGCCTTGTGCCATACCGAAGCCCATATTCTCCATCCTAAATTTACAGAGGCTTTTTTCCCAGTGATTCTTGGCCATGAGGGGGCAGGAATTGTGGAGAGTGTTGGGCCAGGAGTGACCAACTGCAAACCAGGTATTGTATTTTCTCATTCCGATAAGTGGGAATGTCAGGATATTTCAGGGATAATCCTGATAGATTCCTGGCTTTGCATGCTATATTGATCTCTGTTTCCATAAGGGACCATCTTTTCCAAAGCAAAAGTGAGAAACACAATCTATCACAGTCTAACAATGAGACAGAATACTTGAATCAGAATTATCTAGTAAAATCTGTGGAATATGGTTACTTTATTTACATACTAGAGGCCCAATGCACGAAATTCATGCAAGAGTAGGCCTTCCTTCCCCCGGCTGCGGGCACCAGCTTCCCAGGACCTGAGCTTCCCTCCAGCTGCCAGCAGACACTTGGGTTTCACTCACAGCCCCAGCTTCGCCCGTAAGGTCGTCCGGAAGGACCTCTGGTCTAATTAGCATATTATGCTTTTATTATTATAGATTATTATAGACTAGAGGCTCAGTGCACAAAATTTGTGCAGGGGGGGTGGTCCCTCAGCCCAGCCTGAAACCTCTCTAATCTGGGACCCCTCAGGGAATGTCCGACTGCCTCTTGCAATCCAGGACATCTGGCTCTTAATCACTCGCCTGCCTGCCTGCCTGCCTGATCGCCCCTAACCACCTCTACCTGCCTTCCTGATTGCCCCTAACTGCTCCCTACCGGCCTGATTGCCCCTAACTGCTCCCCTGCTGGCCTGATCACCCCTAACTGCCTCTGCCTAGCCCAGCACCCAGGACCCAGGATTCCCTCCCTCTGGCCGGCTACAGGCACCGAGGACCTGGGCCAGCTTTGCCCGGGCCAACCACAGCCACAGGGGACCATGGGCAGGCAGCTTCACCCAGTCCACAGCCACAGGCGCCCGGGACCATGGGGCAGGCAGCTTGTCCCTCTCCCAGCCACAGCAGGTGCAGGTGGCACCCAGGACCATGGGGTGGGCAGCTTGTTCCTCTCCTGGGCTGCAGGCACAGCTGTTGGCACCCGGGACTGTGGGGCGGGCGGCTTGTCCCTCTCCCAAGGTACCTTAAGTGAGAAATATTATATATGCCAACGGTATCTTAAGTGTCTTTCTGGAAGTTTGAAAGATTAAAATGTCATGTAAATGAAACATGCCAATGACTGAAATTATTTACTGCGTATTTCATAACAGATATTCCACCAGATACTGGAATAAGGGCTCTGTAATCCTCCCTTGTCAGACTTCCTTCCTTTAATAAGGATGCTCCAAACCCTGAGGTATACGTATTAGTATCTTTCCATTCCAAACAAGATCATAAAAACCAACTGCTCCTCAAAGTTTTGCATCCATGAAGGAGTCTGATCAATGTAGTCTCAGCTCTGCCACCTGCTGGCTCTGTGACCTTAGCCAGTTAAATCATTTATCTGTGACTCAGATTTCTGTTTCTAAAGTGGGGACAATAATACTACCCTTCTCAAAGGGTTGTTCTTCAAATTAGCTGAGACAATATAAGTAATCAGTTAGAATGGTGTCCGGCACCTACTAAATGTTAGTTATTATTGGACCTTGGTCATCAGAAGATAGAAGCCATTTTTAAATTAAAATTGAATAAAAAGTAGAAGATGTGGAACTTGAGTTCTTTATAATATTAGTTTTCTGCTTTATTTGGAGTAAAACAAATAGTGAAACATGATGATTGTGTGACATTGACTCTCTATATCTGACCTATCACTGTCCACCTCTCCTTTTATATGAGGGTGTCCTATTCCTCATATAAAATGTAATAGGTAATAGTCATGATGGAGAGAGCTACAAGGAGCAGTCTCAGGTAGGACTCTTCACCTGATGGTATCAGTACAGACTTTTTGCTTGACTGCCCAGCAGGGAAAAATGAAAAAGTAATACAAGGAGAAGTCAGCAATCTTATAGAGTAATAAAATGTTTTGCCTAAAATGTAAGTAATAGTCATGATGGAGAGAGCTACAAGGAGCAGTCTCAGGTAGGACTCTTCACCTGATGGTATCAGTACAGACTTTTTTTTTGACTGCCAAAAATGCAACTGTTTGAGTCCACTCACAAATTTCTGTGCAAAGCTCAGGTAAGCTCTACACACTGTTAGTGAGAGTATAAGTTGGTACCACCATTTTGGGCAGTACATTGGCAAAACATAAATGGAGTTGAAGGCGTGCATATTTCTACCCACCAATTCTACTCAGGTGAGTGCAAGGAACTGTTGCAAAATCACCCAGGGAGATGTGTGCCAGAATGTTCATTGCAACATTGTTTATTACAGCAAACTATTGAAAAGAGCACAAGTGTCCTTCAATAAGAGAATAGGTTAACACAGCGATTTTCAACCTTTTCCATCTCATGGCACACATAAACTAATAACTCAAATTCTGCGGCACACCAAAAATATATATTTGTGCCGACCTGACAAAAAAAATGTATAGGTATACTTTT